GGGGTGCAGGCTCTAGGAGGGAGTTTGGGGATGGGATGGGGTGCGGAGGGAGGGGATGCAAGCTCTGGAGACACTCGGTGCTGGAGACCAGAATTCACTACACAGATTAGAGGCACATGCTTGATACTTCCCATAAACTTACAAATGCCCAACGGACACCATTTGTTCCACACTTAAAATGCTGCCTGCAGCTGTGCCACAGTAGTGCTTTAATGAAGCTGCTCTACACCAATGGGGGAGCTCTCCCCCATCAGCCTAGTTAATCCACCTCCCCGAGAGGTGGTAGTTATGTTGGTGGGAGAAGCTCTCTGACATAGTGCTGACTACATGGAGGCATTAGCTCAGTAGAACTATGTGGCTCAAGGGTGCGGATTTTTTTGTTTTTGCAGTGTAGACATACCCTGTGACACCTTGGCCAAATCACTGAATCTCTCTGTGATTCAGTTCCCCAGTTGTAAAATGGGGATAATCACTTAATAACTAACCCAATTCTGACTGTTGTGCCCTGGAGAATCATAACCACAGAACCTCTGGAGCAATGTGTGTTAGAGCTGTTGAGTTTTACACTGCATAATAGAAGAGTTTAACTTCTTCTGAAGCAACAAAAAAAGTATCACTGATATGTGCCACTTGCATTCAAGTACAGTGGTAAAGGTTTCCAAGCTAATGAGTTCCAATCGGTGGTGATCAAGGCAACTGCTGAAGTTTCTTCTTTGATAAGTATCAAAAAACATTCTTTTCAAAGGACTACTGTCATAGAAATCTGACAGCATTTTAAAGGATCTCTCAGGTGCCTAACCTTCAGGAGATATTTTCAGCTTCAGTGACAAACAATTGACCTCTTAATTCATGAGCCATGACTTTGCCGTGTTGTCTGAAACAAGACAAGCATGTAACTGTGACCTAAAGTGAGTTTTAACGAGGGTGCATTTCCATTAGAGTGATAGAAAGGCATGCGTTTATTCTTTAGGGAATGAAGGAAGTTACCTGTGATACAGCTACTGATAACAGCTAATTATCAATGTTAGCAAGCTGATTTTTAACCCCCAATGCAAGTTTCAAACCAGCAGAGGAAGTATTGCTGTGTAGAGCATTTGGGCCAAAATCAGTGCAGGCATAACTCCCTTGATTTCAATGGGAACTTTGTTTTTAATAGGTAATACCTGACGCTCCTAACACAGAGCAGAGCAAAGCAAAGGAGGAAGGATGGTCTTCAAGTTAAGCACAGTATTGGAGTCAGGAGTTCTGGGTACTAGTGCCAGGTCTTGCACAAAAAACTTGCACAGAAGTTTGTATAAGTCAGAAACCTCTCTGCATTTCAGTTTCCCTATCAAATAGGGACAATGATGTTTACCCACCTTCCAGGTGTGCTAAAAAACTTAATTCATTGGAGCAATATTCTACCCTCATCACACTTTTACAATCTCATTGGCTTCAATGGATTTACACCAATATAATTAAGGACAGAATTTGACCCACTAAGGTCCCTATTCTCCAAATCAGTTGGTAACTTTACAGATACAATAGGTTTCAAAGCTATTCATGTGCTTGATTGCCAAAGTGGGGCCCTATATTTGCAAAGTGCTTTGAGATCCTCAGACACAGGAAA